TGTAAGCGTGATTTTAACGGGAACACATTGATGAAATTATGTTTTTAAATTTACAATATAAATAAAATGATTTCCATCATTTGCGTTTCTACGAGAATGGTTTAACTCAGCATTCTCAATCATTATTTACGTTTTATTTTCAAAATCTACTCCTCTGGGGTATTTGCAGAAAAAGAAGATATCATATAAATTTCAATCTAATCAGCATCTTGGTAGAAAAGCCTGCAACTATCTATAAGAACAGCTGTGTGCCATGCGATAAAACAGATGAAAAGAAAATGAAATGTCGATATCAATGATGCAACAGCGAGAATAACTATGTTACAATCATATATCAGATATTTTACTTTGCTGAAATGCAGCTACAACCCTTATATATTTCTTTGCTAACAGTGAAAACTGTACGTTTATTTTTGATTTCCATTCTATACTATTGTCAGTATTTATGTAACATTACTAAAATGAAATAAAGTTATATATTTATGCGACATTTCTAAAATATTGTCGCAATATTTATGTGACATTACTTAAATATGGTCAATATTTATGTGACATTGCTAAAATATTGTCAATATTTATGTGACATTACTAAAATATTGTGAATATTTATGTGGCATTAATAAAATATTGTCAATATATATGTGACATTACTTAAGTATTGTCAATATTTATGCGACATTACTAAAATATTGTAAATATTTATGTGGCATTACTAAAATATTGTCCATATTTATTTGACATTACTTAAGTATTGTTAATATTTATATGACATTGCTAAAATATAATCGATATTTATGTGACATAATGAAATATTGTCATTATTTATGTGGCATTGCTAAAATATTGTTAATATTTATGCGACTTTACTAAAATATTGTCAATATTTATGAGGCATTACTAAAATATTGTTAATATTTATCTGACATTACTAAAATATTGTCAGTATTTATGTGACATGACTAAAATATTGTCAATATTTATGTGGCATTACTAAAATATTGTTAATATTTATTTGACATTACTTAAGTATTGTTAATATTTATATGACATTGCTAAAATATTATCAATATTTATGTGACATAATGAAATATTGTCAAAATTTATGTGTCATTGCTAAAATATTGTTAATATTTATGTGACATTACTAAAATATTGTCAATAATTATGTGTCATTACTTAAGTATTGTTAATATTTATGTGGCATTACTAAAATAATGATGTCTCTATTTATATTTGCAATTTTAACGTACTGATGCCAATGTCTGATTTTTGAAATCTTTCAATATTGATTTATATATTGACATTGACAAAATTGACATATTGATTCATATGATAGATTTTTTATAATGTTTGCATATTGATTTATGTGTGATATTGTCTATGATTTTATATTGATTTCTATATTTGATATTTCCAATGTTTAAACATTCTTTTTATACGGATATTACCGATGTAAAAGCATTTAAATATCCGCTTTAATCACTTTATATGTTTAATACGGAATGCCGTTAGGGCCATCGCCTATGAATGTGTTAATCTGAAACGCGATAGTCGATAGTACGATGGTGAAAACACGAAATCACGATGGTGAAAACGCGGAAGTACGATGATGAAAACGCGATAATACGATGATGAAAACGCGACAGTAGGATACTACGATGATGAAAACGCGATAAACTATCGTGTTTTCATCATCGTACTGTCGAGTATCGCGTTTCAGATCTAACCATTCATAGGCGATGGCCCTAACGGCATTCTGTAGTTTAATGCATACATATATTTCCTTTTTAAACCATATTCATAATGGAACATATCTAAAATGTTACCATGGCAACGGTACTTCCGAAACAAACACATCACATCAAAGTGGCTCATAAACAGAATCATGTATATGTAAATAATCATCACTCATGTCTATGTTTTAGATGGATTAATGGTTCATGAATTAAATTAGCTAACTAATAGCTGTAGGGCAAAATATTTACAGATGCATGGTTCTAATTTATAGGTTTAGGTCAAATCACCCTAGCACATTGCCGTTCATGTATACATGGTTTTATAGAGCTCTTTTCATGCATTCAAAAGAAGGTTTAGATAACTTTATAATTTTTGATGACTCGGAATATTATATATGTGTCGTGTTTAGTACTCGATATTTCTAAAGATTTACACTGTATCATAATATTTCATGATACACAATATACTTCAAGTATAACACACTATATTTTTTAATGAGGTCTCGTTAAAAAAAAATCAAGCAAATAGTTGTTATGCTATTTTATGTTCCTTAACAAATGAAATGTATGGAACTTTTTTTAAATACTTGTACATCGTTTCGCACTTTTTATTCTAAAGTAAATTATATAATACAACATAACACAAATGACATTGTCCAAGCAAGCTGTCACGTGATCTCGATATATATTTTTACAAGAGTTTTAGTGAGAGTTTTAACTCTTTAAGGACATGATTGGTGGCATGTCCGGGGTCCGTACTCGACAGCGAAAGCTGCATTTTGTGCCCGAAAGGGCGGATGGACCCTCATTAAGCTTTAACTTCATCATCATGAGAGTTTTAGACGCCAACTGTTTACTATATATCTAAAGTCGTCTTTGCTTTAAACAATTCAATGTTTCTACCATTTCAGCATTCAGCGTTCAACACTAAATGATAAGATATCGAAGAATCAACCAACCACAATATTGTCGCAACATTTGCTACGTACAAATATGTTATATGGACTTAGAGAATTTCTGAACTTATGAATAATGCAAACAGGCGAACGAGGAAAATCGTCTAATTTACCCACAGTAAAATATGCACTTTTCTATTATCCCTGACGAACAGACTCAATCAAACCGAGTCTGCAATTTTCATTGTTGCTATTATTGATCACCCTTTACCAGATTTTTCCTCATGTGTTTCTGTTTATTCGGCTTATCAGTATTACTGATAACTTATTAATTTTGAAGAATGTGGGATAAAAATTATTTTGTGATGAAAATAATATATATAATTATATGTCTTCCATGTACTTGTATTTATTAATACTATGACATATATGATAGATCATACACTTTGTCGCCTTGTCGTACAATGGTACATTTCAAGGACCACAAAAGGCTATGGAAATAATTGTTGTCTAAACTCTTATTTAATTCTTGACGTGTAGTATAGATTGAAATAGTTTTCTTCAATTTAATTCATAAATGTTTAAATTTCATGTATGCATGCTATTTGTTTTAATATAAATGAATGCCAACTATATTGAAATGAAAATATTTATGGAAATAAATCGAATATTGCAAGTCTCTATCCCTACATGCAAGTTAATGAAAGATAAAGAAACCTGCAAGCATCTATATTGTTTGCTATACCGTCTTTGATCATTTAAGGAGCACTTAAAGCTACATATAATACAAATTTATAGCCTTTAACGACCCAATAATAAACAAGAACACTGTCATTCCGCACTTATTATTACTCAAACATGTAAAAAGAATTAGGTATATGATATTACTTTCACACAAAAAGCGAACATATAATTACTTCAGAAATAAAAATTTGTAAATGGTACTTGAGTTAATGAATTTTTTGCAAGTGGCTTGTTGTTCATTTATAGCAAGTTATGCTGCCTCCTTTAAACACGAACAGCTAAATAGTTCACGCTTGTTTCTGTGTAACATTTATAATGATGCGCATTTATGAGTAAATTTGTCTTAACGAAACAGAGAAGTAGTTTTTCTTGATTTGTATCTTTTTCTCTTATCTCTGGAATGAATAGAATCTATGTCTTTCCTATTAATAATAAATTCAACGTAATGGTTCAGTTATTTTTAATGTTTTTCTATTACAATTTCTTTCCTTTTACGCATCCATTCGTTTTTATATTTGGACAAGGTTGTTAAATAGCTCCTTTAGACCCTGATCTATATTTAGTAATCAAATCAATGTCAGAAAAATGATTCCCACAATCTTATCTCCAGCAAGCTTCTGTTTGACCTGATTGAGGCAGGTGCTCGAAAACATGCTGTTATCTGTACCGAGCAAACGCTTGAAAATTGCTTGCAGAAAAGAGATAAGTTTTAAAGATATAAAAAATACGTAAATCTTAAAACAGTGTACACAAAGGAGAATTCTTGAAAAATAAACTTTTCAGTGCAGTTTGTTCCAAATAAATCTTTATTATCAGAACAGTTATGATAAGAGATAAGAAATAATGGTCGCTATCAAACTGGCCGGGATGTTAATTCTCTATCATCAGTATCATATCTATTTTTTGGTATCTTTTCAGATGTTGATTTATCTAGGGATATCAAGGGGGAATGATCTAACAGCGTGTAATCAGGAGTTTTTTTTATGATGAATTGATAATTTATTCATTAATAAAGCGTCCAGCAGAGCGTGTTGTTCCTGTACACGCTAGTCATCAGCTGAATAAAACGCTCCCCAATGAACGCTCGCTATAATATTGCAAGCATTACTTGGCAACGATAGTTACGTAACTGAATGCACGTGTGACTAGTTACATGGTGACATTGAATATCACGAGCACCTTGTAAAATCACGCAGGTTATAATAATGTGTCACAAGCTGCATATGATTTGACACACACTCTTGCACACATTCTGGTGTAACAATATAACCTTTAATTTATAAATGTTTGCCGTTGGCTCAATAAGTGTCTTCAAAAATCTTCTTTTGTCATAAAACAAACTTGAAAAAAAAGTTCTTTACTAGGCGTGCTGCAAATTCATAAAAAGTCCATCAAAATGTAGATATTGTCCTAATTTGTAAAATATATTGTCATATGTACTCATAAAATGTATATATAAATTGATTCAACGTGGTGTCAAGCACTTTTTATTATCCACACAAATTACCTATACCGTGTCGAAATATGCAGATATAGATTAAAGGGTCGAAATATATTGAAATAGTAAATAATGACAAAATTTAACAGTATAACATTCTAGTCATGTGTATATAAAGACACTTACTTGAACATTGGTTGAATATTCCAGTTGAAGTGAATCTTCCTGGGCTGTTTCGGTTCTTTAGGCGCCTTAGGTTCCTTTTGTGGTTTCGGTTCTTTCGGTGGTTTTGGTTCCTTTGGAGGTTTCGGTTCCTTCGGTGGTTTGGGTTCTTTTGGTATTTTTTCTTTCTTCTCTTTCTTTTCTTTTGTTTTCTTTTCCTTTTTATCTTTTTTCTTTTTCGGAGTAGATTCCTCTAGTGGAGTAGGTTCAGATTCGATAAAAACAATGTCCTCTTTTTCTGGGGTAGGAACATCCTCGATTTTCATTAATTCCGGCTCATCACCATCTTGCATTAAAATTTTAGCTTCGTCTTCACTTTCACAATTATTTGGTGATGGTGGAGGAACATGCAGACCACTGTCACGTTCTTGCTCCGCTAACGGGGCATCTCCTTCAGGAGTCATTTCTTTCACTACAGGTTCTCCTACTTCCTGTTCATTTATCTCATTTTCACTTATTTGCTCTTCACCAATGTTATCAACTTCAGTTCCTTCCGCTGGCACTAAGGGGTCAATCGACGTGCCCTCAATCTGTTGCTGCGGTACGTCCGGTTGTTCCATATTATTTACTAAGATCTGATTTGGTTCATCAAAATTTGAAATACTTTCTGCGTCTGGCTGCGGCTCGTTCACGATGTAAACGCCAGAGCGCATAAAACTAATTTTGGACCCAATTGTGGCTTCTGAAACAAAAGGTGGAAAATTAATCACATGGTTTGTGGAAAATGCTAACGTGTGAAGCACAATGAGAGGTGCGTGTGAGATATAAATATCCGATATATGTTAACGTTACTGCCATAAAACAGGTATTCCCAAACATTAATGCCGGTTGTAGTTAAACCACATTTTTTTCTAAGCATATGTGAGCTGTTCAATGTAAACAAAACCTATATTTCGCTTGGCGTTGTTTTTGTATGTCTCACGTGCAGCGTAGCCAATTATAAAAGAAGGTAGGATGCACATGTTTTTAAACGGTGTTACAGAAAATAATAATAACCTAAAGTCAAAGTTTAAAATAGTTCAGACAGCTTACATCTTATATAACAAGAGTTATACATTACCTTTTTAAAGCTTTTCTTAAACCATCGTGAATTAGCGCGAAAAAGAAAAGAAACACAACAAGATTTGTTCTCGTGTTATTAAAAGTCAATTATCATTAATGACAACAAAAAGTACACGTTGGAAGATTCTTTTAGAGCTATATCTCCTTATTAATGGTCAGGATTATTTACTGAGTAGATAAATTCCCAGCTGGACGCTTACCTTAGCACGCGCCAGGCGGCCGGAAATAGAAGATAAGATCTGCACGTGAATGCTTCTTGATAAAAATCCAAAATGAATATTATTTCTGTAACTCTACCCCACTCATATCTTATATACTCTTTTCATTTTATATCACTGTTTCAGCATAAAAAATGTATTCAAGAATACATTAATTAATTATGTTAGCGAAGCTCACACTATAAAATCCTAGCAGAAAAAAAAGTTCTCTAGAAGTTAAATTAGTGTTCATCGGTCTACGATTGGAGATATTTTGATTCTGTTAGCGGAAGACTATATAAAAAGTGCGATAAGATAAGAAATGAGTTAAAGTTTTTCTGGTGCCAGGATTTTTTTCTCTTTTAAATGATTGTTTGATAACCCTATTATCACTTAGAACAGAACTACGATTTAAATTAAGTGATTTAAAATATTAATTTACCCCGTTAAAAATAACTTTCCGGCCATTCTCGAAATTATAAATAATCGAAATCTAAATGATTCCGGCAAAGTACGCAACGTTATTAAGGGAACTCCACTGACGTTCATAAGCCTAAAACATAGAATTTTATTTTCTCACATAGATTTGGACACCCAAAACAGAAATAGATCATTAAGAAATATACCCAGAAATACACTGAAAATCATATGTTTGTGTTATTCTCAGTCTGATTTGAGTGAAAAGCATAGCAACGCTTTTCAATTTTAGGTCATTTTTGACAATAAGAACATTTTTTTCTGGAAAACGAAGGTAGCGAATGATCTGAAATTTTGCACATAACTTTTTGGGTATTGACCTACATCAGATGGGGTTAAAATCTCAAAAGATTATTTCCAGTCCCGTCATGTGAAAAACCCTTTCAAGTCATTTATGATACAGCTACAGAAGAACTGCTTTGTACATCCGGCAATATTTTTCGTATTACGTAACCATATAACATAATATTAAACTACGCAACATTTACTCTTTTACTAATATGTATAATTCAAACTATTAAAATACATAAATAATACATACATGAGGCTATCAATTTGTATACACACCGATGTGTGATGATATTTCAAGTATACATTTTATATATTTACAAATTGACGATAATGATCACTGTATGTAATATTAAATCTTATATCTTGTTTATATAACAGAATGCCGTCAGAAAAAATTGAAAGTTATAAATAGAATTTATTTATTCTAGTATTAATTATATAAGGAAAATATTTACCATTCCACAGATTGTCTGTCTTCTGTTACTTGTGTATCTAAAATGAAACAAATTTAAAACATTATTTAAATGACATTAAATAAGAAACGATTTATATTTTTTGAATATTACAGCTTGAATGTATCGTTAAAATATAAAATTGTGTAATGAGAAGTCTAGTTTGATTCAAAATTGTCCAATTTTCGCCGTTTTGACTCATGCTCAATCTTAATGCTGAGACATTTTGTGCTACTGTAGTTACCCATAAATTGATATATAATTGATAACGACCACCTGTAGGCCACAAATCAGATCAATTTTTCTCGAGCAGGTCATGGGCCAATGAAAACAACAGCTGTCTCTTTTCAGAACACTGCTCGATATTTATTCATAAACAAATAATTGTTTTCTATTCCTCTCCCGAGACAGTTTTTACAAAGCCGTCCTACTTAAAATGATACCAGAGAGGCCGCTAATTAAATGATATTCCACCGCTGAATCTTCTCAATTAATAAAAAAAATTGAGCCGTGTCATGACAAAACCAACATAATGGGTTTGCGACCAGCATGGATCCAGACCAGCCTGCCCATCCGCGCAGTCTGATCAGGATCCATGCTGTTTGCTATCAGTTTCTCTACTTGTAATAGAGTTGGTAAGCGAACAGCATGGATCCTGATCAGACTGCGCGGATGCGCAGGCTGGTCTGGATCTATGCTGGTCGCAAACCCATTATGTTGGTTTTGTCATGACACGGCTCAAATAACAACAACAAATGTTTCATAATTTCCCATACTTGTTCAAAGTAGGCGGAGTGTTAGAGCAATAATTAGAATTTTTATTTCGTTCTCTGAAAATGATCTTTATCAATATTTACTCATTTACCATCGTATAATATACCTAATCATATTAATTACTTTTCTGAAAGGCAATTGGTGTGGATTTGATACACTTTTCTTAATATTTTACGATTCTAAACATAGAAGGATATAGTTTTGTTAAACTAAATATTTCACAGTGAATATTGTATCACGTGACAAGTTTGCTTTCATAATTAAGTATAGCATATACTTTTGTGTACAAAACATTAATTACAAGAAAGATTTGTTTAACACCAAAGTAACGGCGTGTAATGGGAGCCATGCGAATATATCTTAAATACATTTTAAATGTCGAAATAAAAGCGTTATTGTCTGAAAAAGATAACTTACATTATGTGTCTGTTTATTTTATATCCCAACTTCACTGATAAGCCAAGTGGCTTGCTACTGTAGGTGGTAACCTCTGGCATCAAGATATAACCCCTGACAACCGACGCTATAACACCGGGAGTACGCCGTGTCAAATTTCATGTGCACTGAAGTTATATTTCCACCTCGATAGTCCAATGCGAAAGGAAGCGTTTATGTGCAGACCAAGAACCTGGCATTGTTGGGAAAAAAACCCACTAAATACACAAAATACGACAAATTCGTCCAATCGCTAAACTGATACAAATGTATATTAATGACACAAAAGTTCATTTTCAAAAACTATTAAAATATAAAGCATATATAAATAAAATATTAAATCATAGATAGGCCTAATGTTTTTTTTGGGAATCTTTATTTTCCTCCATAAAGTGAATTATGAGTTTTAATATACTTGATAGATGCCTAGGTGATCCTTTGCTTTCCTTGACATAGTAAAATATACCCTACTCAAACCTTAAAACCAATATATTAAGCTACATCTCTGCTAGCTGCTGTTAACAAACTTTTTGTTTAAATTGTAAAAAAAAGATAATTCCAAAATACCTTAATGATGAAATTACAATGTATTTGGTATGTTTTCTTATGAGCAAATGGTACATGCACGTAATCATTTGGACGGTAAAATCCTACTTAAAATAGCAGCATTATATTTTGTTCTAGAACTAAATTATTCCATTCATGAGTGTAAAAAAGCAGAAACATTCTATGATACCACCCTTTCGTAATCGACCTATTATGGGAACAACGTGATTTTTTACTGTACTTAAGGTATATCAATTTTTGTTTAATTAGATAAAGGTTCATACCCTATAACTTTTTAGTGAAATTTATTATACCTTGACTTTGATGACAGTTTAGGTTACATTTTCACCACTGTTATGCTTTGGTCTGCTATGCATGGACTTACCACAGCACTTTCTTGCTCCATACAGATTATCGTCTACCCGAGAGTCAGCCGCTCTAACCAGCTGCACGTGGCCTTCCTTCACTTGTTATATAACATAAGTCAGGTATTAGATATAAAGTTATGTATTTGATAATCTAACATTTTAGTATTTAGTACGGTAGCCAGGTCGTCATTTTCACAAATGTTATTGAAAAGCAAGTAATTTTCTTTCAATATTTGTAAAGAGATAGTAGAAATTTTCTTTAAGAATTATTGGGTGTCGTACGTTTTCACTCGTTTTAGCTTTAGCTGTGCTAATTTCGACGTTACTTTTTTTCTTATTTTTCATTCCTGCCTTATGGGAAATCTCAATAAAGAACCCCATTTATAATCATTGGAATATTTATCACATAATTATATACTGGAGAAAAGAAACTTAAATGTAAGCAATATTCTTTTGCGGTGTGAAAGTCCGACAACTTCTTTACAAACTGAAAACATTTTATAAAGTTTTTATCTCCCCTTTACCTATGCATTCTGATCAGCGGGTTTCATGCATTTATCAACACTTTTTAATAGTTTAAAATATGTCATGAGAAGAGATAGGTGGAGTTAATAGAACATTAATAATTCTTTAAACACTTAATTTTAAGGTTCAATAAGGCAAATAATTGAAAGCTCACTCGAGAAAATCGAAACAATGTTGATATGTATAAAAAACAAAAATAAAATATTTTCTGATAGACATGGTCACTTGCTTTTGAATTCAGTCATTATTATTTATAATAAAAGCCAGTGATCATTTATTTATAATAAAAGTCAATGAAAATCTTAAACTGGACAAAATGATTAAAACAAAGTATAATTGTATATGATTTGCAAATGAATTAGACGCATTCATTTTTCAGTTAATTTTGTTATCAATTAAAGATACTTCTCTTAGTTGTTTAAGTAACACTTGTTCACAATTTTCAAAAATAATAACAATGTTACAGATTAAAAAATATAAACTGCGTAGTTTTAATAACACGAATTTCAAATTTATTTTCATACGAAATAACGTTTTATAGCCATGTTCAAAGTACCGTTTATTGATCAGATGAAAAACATTAACGTAAGCAAGCACGCGCAAGTACACATTCGAACCAAAATTAGTATTTGTCCACCTAATTTCCTAGAGAATTGTTGCATCCCATCAAGATATCAAGTTTATATAACCTTTGAAGAGATTCAGCTTAAATCTGCAAAGATATGTGTCATGCAGAGGGCTTTGAAAACAAGGTATCATTTGAGCCGTGTCATGACAAAACCAACATAGTTGGTTTGCCGCCAGCATGGATCCAGACCAGCCTGCGTATCTGCGCAGTCTGATCAGGATCCATGCTGTTCGCTATCAGTTTCTCTACTTGTTATAGGGTTTGTAAGCGAACAGCATGGATCCTGATCAGACTGCGCGGATGCGCAGGCTGGTCTGGAGCCATGCTGATCGCAAACCCATTATGTTGGTTTTGTCGTGACGCGGCTCATTTTATGAAGAGAAAAAACAAGGGAAACTAATGTTATCTCATTTCTCATCTTTGAGTTCATTAATTGTTTTTTTTTATTTTTTTACATATCGCCTGGAAATTATTCATTGTAATTATGCTGGAAAAAAATAATCGTAATTATACTCTTTGAATCTAGCTTATGTTCTTCAATATTGGAAGAGTAAAAAGCATTTATCCATCGACAGTACTTTTAAAATGACTTTTTATTGATTTCATATGATTTTTTTTTCATATGATTTATTTCGAACAGCTGGCAAAATAATTGAATTGATACGAAAAAGATGTTACAGTGTAGTCGAAACACATATGGCGATGTTGTAGCATTTATTTTAACAGTGGTGAAAATTGACAATATGTATCTTTTGAATATTAAACCACTTGTTTTATAGCTATGATTAAAAAAGGACTAAACAAAACGGTGTTTCCAATTATCTAAATGGTATGCTATTCAATTTGTATTCATATAATTTCAGATTTCAGGCTTGCATTATGCAGACATTGTTATATTTGATTATGAAGAAAAAAATCGAATTATAATACTATACTATATATATAGTAAATCTATTATAAGTTAACTTTTTATCAAAGTATCATGTTTTCAGTCGACCTTAACATGTTAAGATTGCACGTTATAAATAATTGGCTGAACTTGGTATGCACTGGTCACATGCATAGGAGTTAATTAACATGCTTTACAATTGTTTTACCAATAGATGCACCGACGAAGCGTATCCCGACTAACTTACAATTTGAAAGCTACACGAAGATTACCTCGGACACTTTTTCTTTTCTGTTTTTGTTTAATAACTATGTTGGTATATGCACGTACATTTCCAAGTCAAGAAATAGAAATTGAACATCAAATCAAACAAACAGACAGCAAAAAAAGTGAAATCAATGACAAATTAAAAAATCCAAGACAGTGTTTACCAGTTGAACGAAACTTTCTCCGGACAAATCTGGATCTAAGGATTATAATAGTTGCAAACGATAAACCGAAGTCATTGTTACGCTTACTGAAGTCTTTAAATAAAGTCGTGTATGGTAGACATAAAGTCGCCATAGAAATATGGCTAGACAGGATCACAATCGGGAATACTCGGCAGAAACCGTAAAAATGGCGTTAGATTTTGTATTTGACTACGGACCATGTGACATTCATATAAACAACCAGCAAGAGGGTAAAACAGGACAATGGTTTTACGTAAGTTTTCTTTTTCAATATGTTTTGAACATTGAGTTGAATGCTGGAACCAAACATTGAGTTGAATGCTAGGACCAAACGTTGAGTTGAATGCTAGGACCAAAAGTTGAGTTGAATGCTAGGACCAAAAGTTGAGTTGAATGCTAGGACAAAACGTTGAGTTGAATGCTAGGACCAAACATTGAGTTGAATACTAGGACCAATCGTTGAATTAAAGGCAAAAACCAAACATTGAGTTGAATGCTAGGACCAAACGTTGAATTAAAGGCAAAAACCAAACATTGAGTTAAATGCTGGAACCAAACATTGAGTTGAATGCTGGAACCAAACATTGAGTTGAATGTTTGAAACAAGCGTTGACAAAAATGCTAGTATCAAACATTGAGTAGATTGCTTGAATAAAACGTAATCTAGAATGCTAACCAAACATTGTTTTTGACAAGAGCAAAACGTTGACAAGGATATACTACAACCTAATATTGCCTAGAAAACTAGAACCAAACGCTGACTAGAATGCTAGAAACAAACATTGACTAGAATGCTAGAACCGAACATTGACTAGAATGCTAGAACCGAACATTGACTAGAATGCTATAACCGAACGCTATAACCGAACATTGACTAGAATACTAGAACCGAACATTGACTAGAATGCTATAACCGAACATTGACTAGAATGCAAGAACCGAACATTGACTAGAATGCTAGAACCGAACATTGACTAGAATGCTAGAACCGAACATTGACTAGAATGCTAGAACCGAACATTGACTAGAATGCTAGAATGCTAGAACCGAACATTGACTAGAATGCTAGAACCGAACATTGACTAGAATGCAAGAATTGAACATTGACTAGAATACAAGAACGGAACATTGACTAGAAAGCTAGAACCGAACATTGACTAGAATGCTAGAACCGAACATTGACTAGAATGCAAGAATTGAACATTGACTAGAATACAAGAACGGAACATTGACTAGAATGCTAGAACCGAACATTGACTAGAATGCTATAACCGAACATTGACTAGAATGCTAGAACCGAACATTGACTAGAATACAAGAATGGAACATTGACTAGAATGCAAGAATTGAACATTGACTAGAATACAAGAACGGAACATTGACTAGAATGCTAGAACCGAACATTGACTAGAATGCTAGAACCGAACATTGACTAGAATGCAAGAATTGAACAGTGACTAGAATACAAGAACGGAACATTGACTAGAATGCTAAAACCGAACATTGACTAGAATGCTAAAACCGAACAATGACTAGAATGCAAGAACCGAACATTGACTAGAATGCTAGAACCGAACATTGACTAGAATGCTAAAACCGAACATTGACTAGAATGCTAGAATGCTAGAACCGAACATTGACTAGAATGCAAGAATTGAACATTGACTAGAATGCTAGAACCGAACATTGACTAGAATGCTAAAACCGAACATTGACTAGAATGCTAGAATGCTAGAAACCGAACATTGACTAGAATGCAAGAATTGAACATTGACCTAGAATGCTAGAACCGAACATTGACTAGCAATGCTAAAACCGAACATTGACTAGAATGCTAGAATGCTAGAAACCGAACATTGACTAGAATGCTAGAACCAAACATTAACTAGAATGCAAGAATTGAACATTGACTCGAATACAAGAACGGAACATTGACTAGAATGCTAAAACCGAACATTGACTAGAATGCTAAAACCGAACATTGACTAGAATGCTAGAACCGAACATTGACTAGAATGCTAGAACCGAACATTGACTAGAATGCTAGAACCGAACATTGACTAGAATGCTAGAACCGAACATTGACTAGAATGCTAGAACCGAACATTGACTAGAATGCAAGAATTGAACATTGACTAGAATACAAGAACGGAACATTGACTAGAATGCTAAAACCGAACATTGACTAGAATGCTAGAACCGAACATTGATTAGAATGCTAGAACCGAACATTGACTAGAATGCTAAAACCGAACATTGACTAGAATGCTAGAACCGAACATTGACTAGAATGCTATAACCGAACAATGAGTAAAATGCTAGAACCGAACATTGACTAGAATGCTAGAACCAAACATTGGCTAGAATGCAAGAACCGAACATTGACAATAATGTTAGAACAAAACATTGACCTTAATGTTAAAACCAAATATTAGTTAGAATACATGAACGTTGTCTACAATGCTCGAACCAAACGTTGACTGGATGAAAGAATCAAACATTGATTTCAATGCCAAAACAAGCGGAAAAGAATCAAACATTGATTTAAATGCTAAAACAAGCAGAAAAGAATCAAACATTGATTTAAATGCCAAAACAAGCAGAAAAGAATCAAACATTTGTTTAAATGCCAAAACAAGCAGAAAAGAATCAAACTTTCATTTAAATGCCAAAACAAGCAGAAAAGAATCAAACATTCATTTAAACGCCAAAACAAGCAGAAAAAATCAAACATTGATTTAAATGCTGAAACAAGCAGAAGACTTGAAAGCTTGCACCAAACATTATCTGTAATGATAGAATCATTAGTTCACCTAATTGCTAAACCTAAATGTTGTATTGAATGCTGGAGAATCATATGTATTCACTATAAGAAATGAGCCACGCCATGACAAAACCAACATAATGGGTTTGCGACCAGCATGGATCCAGACCAGCCTGTGCATCCGCGCAGTCTGGTCAGGATCCATGCTGTTCGCTTACAAATCCTATAACAAGTAGATAACTGACAGCGTACAGCATGGATCCTGATCAGACTGCGCGGATGCGCAGGCTGGTCTGAATCCATGTTGGTCGCAAACCCATTATGTTGGATTTGTCATGGCGCGGCTCAAATATAATGTTATGCATTAAAGATCTTGTAAAGGTTAACTCTCTCATCGTTGCAGACATGGCGGACATATAACAATACAAAAGAAATAGCCGTAATACTTGAAGACTATCTTACAGTGTCTCCTTACTTCTTTTCATGGCTTAAACTTGTTCATTCCCTCTACGGTGAACGCAGTGACGTTAGCGGCTTCGCCTTGCAAGGAAAACAAATTCGACACAGTGATAGTGTTTGTTGTTTAAACATTTCCATACAACACAAGGTCTTTCTTTACTCCATGTTTGGTGTATCGGGATTCTCACCGAACAACAAACAATGGCTGCAATACATTGCTTGGTCACCTGAACATACCCTAAAAATGCGAGGATTGCCAGTTAAGAAATCAAGACACGTGACGGCTGGGCAAAAATACGATCAGTTGAGATGGGCTATGGAATATATTCAGTACACACGGACAAACAAACAGTTCACGTTGTATTCGAATTTTAAAGGTAAGTGTTTGTGTTCTTTTTTAAATTGCTGATCGTTTTACAAAGTATTTCAAAAAATTAGTATGTGAAAACATATCTAGTATTAGAGACTGGGAAAATGGAAAATTGTTTTGATTTGCATATAATTATCATAAAAACAATGAAATTAGAAAGTAACCTAAGAAAAGAAAAAGGTAATGCCGAACAAAAAATATGTTATATAAAACATGATATATGTATATACATATCATATATTTTGAGTCTCATTTCTGTTATTTATGCAGGTAATAAGGGTCTAGCGTATAACTGGAATGATGGCGAATCTGACAGTGATTTTAAAGGGGAAGGTAATGGCACTGATACAGATGGACTGCTGCTCGAATGGACAACAGATTATGAAAATCTTCCGGCCATACCAGTGTATGTCAACACCACAGGTGTGATTATAAAAACGCAAGTTCCAATGAAATAGCAATATTTCTATTTATAATGATATATGTCAGTCTGAAATTTGTTAAGAATGAATGTCATCATAACATGCATTACTTCCCATGTTGACCATTGATAGGCCGTCAACTTGCTTTTTACAAAAACATAAAATGTTCAAGACAATATAGGACTTATTACATTTGAACCCCCAAAAACTAAAATTGTACGGCTAAAATATTTTATAATGTAAGTTGGTGTTGTATCATTATAGTTTACCGTTACATCTCGGTACGGTTCTTTTTTTCAAGACATATCTGAACTTACATCATATGATTACACCATTGACGTTTTCTAATGTCTCCTTCGGCTATTTACTATAGACTAAGGTAAGGAAACTATACTTACATTAGAAAATCAGTTAAACAACAGACAACCAGCTTTGTTTTCTAAATGTTTTTAATCACAGTTTAAAAACAGAAATGACATAATGACAACGTACATAATAGTATATGAAGAATTTTTATATATCAAAGTAGACTTTGTAAACGAGGTTCATTTCACCGTAATAGCAAGCTCATCAAAACATTATGTAAGATTAGGATTACGTAATCATCACAATAAGCATTTGAGCCGCGTCATGCTGTTCGCTATCAGTTTCTCTACTTGTAATAGGGTTGGTAAGCGAACAGCACGGATCCTATCAGTTTCTCTACCTGTTATAGAGTTTGTAAGCGAACAGCATGGATCCTGATCAGACTGCGCGGATCCATGCTGGTCGCAAACCCACTATGTTGGTTTTGTCGTGACGCGGCTCAAAGCATAACACAAACTGTGTAATATAATATTTGTTTAAAATTAATTTTTGTTACATAGATTTGCATTATCCACTGTTGTTATTCAGTTTTGTAAATAGACTGTTTATAAAAAAAATTGGCACACGCTTCGGGCCAATTTATTTTTTGTAAATGCTTAATAAATAACAGTAACCTATATTTAGTACCCAGCAAATGTATTTGTTAGCTATAATAATAACATATATACCTTTAAAGTTTCTTAATAATAAATTTGAAAATAAGTATTTAAAAATGTATTGTTTATATACATTTTAATCGATGTTTTATCACGTAATGTATGATAATGTACTATGTACAAGTCAAATATAAAATCATATTCTGTTTTGTTCTATATACATGTAGATCTATAAACAATAATGAGGTAAAATATTATACCGCGACAGTATTGTAAAATCGATTGTTTTATTGATATCATATTTTCGCATTATCATGTACACACTATTGTTTAATTATCAACATAAATATATATAAATAGTGTTATCACAACGGTTTGAGCTCATATATTATCGTGTTTTAGAGATTATGGAAAATGAAGACATTCATTCCCTACTACACTAGTTTTAAATAAAAATGCAAAATTATTTATAGATTAGTGTTTATTAGTAAAAACCGTTCGGCCAATTTAATTTGGTAAATGCTTTCTTAAATGTTTAAAATTTATTTGTTTAACCGTCGATTTACTAGACATGTTAATAGTTAGAAGATTTATTGAAGTAAATGTGTTACGATTCAATGCTGTAATCCTATTAGACGACAAATAATTTCAAACACTAATCCTTTATAAAAAATACTGGCACATTTTGATATTAATTACCATCATCAATGTTCAATACGAAAAAAGATTTGTATCATGATAAATTTCTAAATTGAAATCATGTGAAGATTGAAGATATATAATATTACATTACTTGTATAAAAGTCTTGAATAATCTTAAAGATAATTAACAAGCCAGTGAAACTGTACGCAATCACACACGCACGCACGCCAAAGTAAATGATTTACAGGCCAATATATGATCCATAAAAATCAATTAATCGATATGTATGTAAAAAGTAGAAATCAACATACTATGCATTTAATATAAACGATTCAATGACTTAATTAAAAACTTTTATTAATATAAATAACGAACACAATTCTGGAGCGGGTAGATCCCGCATATTTTTAGAAATTATGGAAAGTGAAAACATTTATGTCCTACAGCACAAGTATAAAGGAAATAATTATGTTTTACAACAGAACAGAAAATATAATAACACTGGCACGAAAGATGGACAACTTTTAGCAGCTATCGTATAGCATTTTAAAATATGTTGTAAGTATAAAAGTTCATGTACAAAATTTAAGTGGAGTTCAAGTGTTGATATATTAGTGACATTTTAAAACAAAATATGTTCATAAACAATTTAATTCAAACTAGTATTTAAGTGATGTTTTCTAACTTTGAAAAAAAATATCTGAAAATTTTACGAAAACGTTGAAGTCGTTAGGGGGTCAAGGTCGCATTTCAATAAGCTCTTAGAATAAAGTTTATCAAGCAAGAATGATGTATTATACAATTATTGACTAGTGAGCCATTGAATATGATGTGATATTCACCGGCAGATGACATATTGACCGATGGCTCACTAGTCAATAATTGTTTTATTATATGAATAGGCTAAGAAATAAAAAAATCACGAAAAGTACAACCTTATATACATGTACAAATTTTGCCTCGTTGAAGCGCGGGAAAAAGACGCACGTGTTAGGCGTGCAACGACTTCGCGAACGCTGCGCATACATAAGTAATTCAAGTTTATACTCATCGTTACTGTGTAGCCTTTAAGTAAAATGGTAATGTATTGATATTTTAATCGAGAAATATGCCATAAAGAACAAAAAGCAACAATTATTTTTTAAGTAACACGCGTATTTAACAGTCTACGGTGTATGATTATTGAATATGAGTCTCAATCTATTTTTAGACTGGGAAAATCCAATTCAGCCAGTGAATATGATACTACATCCAGTAAATATGATTTTATAAAAAGTTCTGTTGACTACTGTTTGCACCAATGAGATTGCAGCTATATTTAGATCATATAATAACCTAGTATAAAGGGTGTAGTTACATGAACGAAGATGTTATATAATTATGTACTTACAAAATGAAAGAACCAAGGTCAAAGATAATCTGAAGATAATCAAACTCATATTTTAGGTATTTGATTGGTTAGAAACCGGAAAAGAATGTTGACCAGTGAAATATCTTAGATTCGAGACTGTACTCTGAAGTTCTCATAACCCCACGAGGCCAGCGGAAATATGCATTCCGGTCATAAGGTTTTAAACAAACATTCTAAACTTTTCAAAAATAAATTAACATTTCATAAACATGGTGTAATTAAAAAAAGCAGTAGGCCTAACATAAAAATGAAAATAAAATCTCAAATGCTTTGTTTATATATAGTTTGTTGCTCTTAAAGAGTGTCAGCAGTTTGAAAAATCACTTGTAACATTTACTCTACTAAACGTATTACTTGCAACACAAAAATAAATCTAAATAACTAGATTTCGGACGAGGTTTGTGCTTTTCCACATCCCACAAGTATGTATGGATCTGACAAAACTTTGAGCCTGAAAGTACTACCAGCAGGACGTTGTCTTCACTGAACCTAACATTCGCAGGCTTCACGTCCATGCCGTACTCGAAGGTGTCCTTAACTGGGTACCCTAAAAATTCTCCATCCGGACTAAAAGCTTGAACACGATAATTGTTAGCATCGGCAACGTATATATTATCATATTTGTCTACACAAATTCCCATCGGATAAAACAGCTCTCCTTGCTTTGACCCATGCTTTCCAAATGCATGAATAAAACTACCGTCTAGTTTATGGACTTTAACTCTGTGGTTACCAGTGTCAGCCACCACAATTTCGTCCTTGTTGTTGACGGTGACATAATACGGTGACGTGAAATGGTGCGTGCCTTTACCTCGGGAACCAAACCTTACGGAAGGTTTTCGCTTTTGTGTGAGCACATGGACACAATTTTGACGTAGTCCTGTTATCACTGCATAATTTGACTTCGACAGTGCAACACCAAATGGATTTTCCTGACTATAAAATGTTCCATGAAAAGCGAGGATCCGTCCGTCCGTGGTATATTCACGTAGAATGGCGTTTCCAGATCGACTAACAGAAGCAAGTATTGTTCCTCCACGTGTTATTTCAATATCTCTCACAGAACAGTCACATTGAAAGCTACCACGAAATATCCCAGATGATGAGAATGTTGAAATTTTATTCAAGACTGAATCAGATAAAAATATATCATCAGTAACGGGTGAGACAGTTATTCCTGTAACTTGAATAAACTCGTGCGACTGGGTGCCATAGTTACCAAATCTTCGGATTAGCTTATTTGACGTCTCTGGTGCAAAGTGTTCGGTTTTTGTGCCAGATAGCAATGGGGTGGATTCGTGATTGCGCTGTAACTTTCCACGAACATCATATGTACTTACGGTATCCCCGAGACCAACAATAAAATGGTTGTCAGGGAAGGATGAAACTCCACCATGGGGTACGAATATAGTCTACAATATACAAAACATACGAATACATTTGACAATAGCAAGATTAACATACTTTATCTTCATTAATCTTAAATATTTTGATGACTAATTTTCATGATACAGATACATTTGTTAATATTATTAAAACTAGAAGTACTAAATGTAATTGCTGAGCAACATATATGACCATTGTTTTTATAAATTAAACACATTAATTGGATGGAGAAATTAAAGACAGACAAATACGAATAAACGATTCAGCGTGTTTATTTTTTTATCAGATATTGGAGAACAATTTTAAGTTATCATTATTTTAAATAATAACAGACATGTATATCAACAATTTCGAATATGTTTATTATCAGTTCATTTCCATATGTATTGTCGGATAAATACACACATCTTTAATAAACTTGACATCACTTTCAAACTGAAAGATTGAAAGGTAAATATACTAAATAAAAAAGCGTAACTAAAAGTACCATCACATATTTTATATGTATCATTTAAGTGTATATGACAATATTTGCTGCGGTATTCGAGGAAGGAAATTGAAAATTGCACCACTAACCTGGCGACATAATGGACACGGAAACTGTCCTGTATCCTCGAATCTTGACGTCACATAATCCCTCAAACAGCCCTCACAGAACGTATGAAGACACGGCAATGCCTTCGGTTTATTATATGGCTGAAAACATATCGTACACGACAAAAACGAGTCCTGTATCCGATCAACAATATTTTCAGTCGCCATTTAAGACAACACTTCCGTATATTAGTTAAGTATTTTATACATTATTTATGAACTCCTCTCATATGACTATGATTTGAACGATATGTTACTATTTTTAGATACGGAAAAACCGATACGCTATACAGGCACATGTATAATATAAGCCGAGTTGCTAAAAATAGCTACTAGTTACATCAGGTTAATTCAATTAAAGTTAAGATCAATTTGCATGTGATAAATGTATAAAATTTGTCATGGTGATTTTTTTGTTGTTGTTTTTTTGTTTTTTTTTGCTACTGAGTACCGTAGTACAATATATTAATATTTAAGAGATATTAGAAAAACAAAACAACAAAAAAAATAACAAAAAAACAATAAAACAAAACAAAACAGATACACATTTTTTCATTATTCATTAATATTATTTTATCTTATTACATATATTTCATACTTTTAATAAGGGTTATAAACCCATGATGACATGATAACAACATAATACATGTACAAAATAATGAAAAGTGCACATGTACTAAAAGAAAACATACCTAACATAGGAGAAAGTCATATTAACAAAGTATTCTAATAGAAATACATTAATTTGCTCGGGACATATTCTTATAAGTGGCAACAACTCAATTTAACCATGATTTGCAAATGAAAGTACATTGATAATATACCGTTAGAAAGATTATTGATTTTTTTTTAACCCACAGTCTATTTTCGCACGATTTGCACGTGCAATAACATTTTAGCATGTCATTTAAATGCACGTGGTTTTGTAAACTGGTTGTTAACATGGCTGAGTTGCATTGTGATTTGAGAGAGGAACAAAAAATGCGTGGGTTATTTGTGTAAATGCGCATCAGAAATAAAAACGGATCGGAAAAATTCCCTTCCATAGGGTAAAATTGCCTGACGGGTGTCAATGTTTAAGGAAGGTAGAACTAACCTTAAGGATGATCCCGCCCTGGGCGGCCATTTTCCGTTACCTCTGAAAAAGACATCAGTACTGTCAAAGTAATACCGTGGAGGAGATAAGTAATAGAAAGAGCTTCGAAACACGAGGCTATCTTATTTGTACAAAGGGGCGTAGCTCCCGGGTATAAATCAGATTGCCGAGTGCTTCGTTGTTCTTTCTCTTTTGTATCGTAGTCAAACAAACAAAAAAAACAAAAAAACGTTCTCTGCTGTCACAATATGAAACCCCAGAAAAAGTAACCAATGAACAGGCATCTGAATGTAATATTTGTGTCGCTTTTCCTTTCTATGCCGTCACAAAATGTAAACCCCAGCATAATGAGCCAATCAATCAATCAATGGGCATGCTCTGGAGTGCGGGTTAGAACTCACACCCTCACATTGGCGGGTCGATTCACTCTCAACACCATGCCAGAGACACAACAGGGGCTTTTTAAAGTTTAGAGCCACTGTATACGAATTTCAGGCAATGGAAATTTTAATTTCCTGGGTCCACTATATAGTTTATCCTGTGTCATGGTAACAATTCTTTGTGACCCTAACTCTGGGTTTCTCGCGCAAAAGCCCGGAGATTATTGCACTTAGAAAAATTAATGGCGGCAACCAGTCGCAGGTTCGAATCCCGGTAACCCTATTTTTATATTTCCTATACAAACGTATTGGCAGATCCACTATATGGTATATTCCGTGTCAGGGGTACACTCACTTCATTTGCTCCGCCTCTGTTGAAGTTCGTCTCCGCCTTAAATTGTCGCCAAATTCAATATGCTAGCATTTAGTCTTCGTTAACGGGGATGGGGGGGGGGGACCAGGACAATTATGGTCAATACAACTTGACGAATTATTTAATTACAAGTTACAAAGCCTTAACCATGCCTACTATAAGAGGCAGTTCTCCCTTAACCCTTACCAAGAGGTATCACTAAAATACGCAACGGAGATTATTTTGCGCTACGAACGCAGCGGAAATATATTTTGCAAGACAGGCAAAACGTGTGCGACATGTAATTCATTAAAATAATTAACATTTAAGTTATAAAACAGATAAACTGAGTGAAAAGTGCGCTAATTTTTCAAACGTATCACAAATATTTGCAATAGGCTATTTTGAAGGATTCTGTGATCAACGATTGTTCTCTTTTGCCTATATTTTTTACTAAACCTAGATTCTAGGCGAATATGCAATCTTTTGTTTATTCAAGTAGTTTAGTCTTTTAAAAAGTAAACTACGTCCTTTCTCAATGTCTAAACTTTTCCCCGACTAGTAACATCACCAGATTTTCCCCGACTGGTAACATCACCAGATTTTCCCCGACTGGTAACATCACCAGATTTTCCCCGACTGGTAACATTACCGGATTTTCCCCGACTGGTAACATTACCGGATTTTCCCCGACTGGTAACATTACCGGATTTTCCCCGACTGATAACATCACCAGATTTTCCCCGACTGGTAACATCCCCGGATTTTCCCCGACTGGTAACATTACCGGATTTTCCCCGACTGGTAACATTACCGGATTTTCCCCGACTGGTAACATTACCGGATTTTCCCCGACTGGTAACATTACCGGATTTTCCCCGACTGGTAACATCACCAGATTTTCCCCGACTGGTAACATTACCGGATTTTCCCCGACTGGTAACATCCCGGATTTTCCCCGACTGGAAACATTACCGGATTTTCCCCGACTGGTAACATCACCAGATTTACCCCGACTGGTAACATCTCCGGATTTCCCCGACTGGTAACATTTCCGGATTTACCCCGACTGGTAACATCACCAGATTTTCCCCGACTAGTAACATCACAGATTTTCCCCGACTGGTTAACATCAACCAGATTTTCCCCGACTGGTAACATCTCCGGATTTACCCCGACTGGTAACATCACCAATTTTGACCCCGACTAGTAACATCACCAGATTTTCCCCGACTGGGTAACATCACCGGATTTACCCCGACTAGTAACATCACCAGATTTACCCCGACTAGTAACATTACCAGATTTCGCCCGACTGATAACATCACAAGATTTTCCCCGACTGTTAACATCACCGGATTTACCCCCGACTGATAACATCACCGGATTTACCCGACTAGTAACATCACCAGATTTACCACGACTAGTAACATTACCAGATTTCCCCCGACTGGTAACATCCCCAGATTTTCCCCGACTGGTAACATCTCCGGATTTTCCCCGACTAGTAACATCCCCGGATTTACCCGACTGGTTACATCACCAGATTTTCCCCGACTGGTAACATCACAAGATTTTCCCCGACTGGTAACATCTCTGGATTTACCCCGGCTGGTAACATCACCGGATTTACCCCCACTAGTAACATCACAAGATTTTCCCCGACTGGTAACATCTCTGGATTTACCCCGGCTGGTAACATCACCGGATTTACCCCCACTAGTAACATCACAAGATTTTCCCCGACTGGTAACATCTCTGGATTTACCACGGCTGGTAACATCACCGGATTTACCCTCACTAGTAACATCACAAGATTTTCCCGACTGGTAATATCTCCGGATTTACCCCGGCTGGTAACATCACAGGATTTACCCCGCTAGTAACATCACAAGATTTTCCCCGACTTGTAACATCTCCGGATTTACCCCGGCTTGGTAACATCACCGGATTTAGCCCCACTAGTCACTAGTAACATCACCAGATTTTCCCCGACTGGTAACATCAAAAGATTTTCCCCGACTGGTAACATCTCCGGATTTATCCGGGCTGGTAACATCACCGGATTTACCCCGACTGGTAACATCAAAAGATTTTCCCCGACTGGTAACATCTCCGGATTTAACCCGGCTGGTAACATCACTGGATTTACCCCCACTAGTAACATCAAAAGATTTTCCCCGGCTGGTAACATCTCTGGATTTACCCGGGCTGGTAACATCACCGGATTTACCCCCACTAGTAACATCACAAGATTTTCCCGACTGGTAACATCTCCGGCTTTAACCCGGCTTGTAACATCACTGGATTTACCCCCACTAGTAACATCACAAGATTTTCCCCGACTGGTAACATCACCAGATTTTCCCCGACTGGTAACATCACCAGATTTTCCCCTACTGGTAACATCACCAAATTTTCCCCGACTGGTAACATCACCAGATTTTCCCCGATGGTAACATCACTGGATTTTCCCCGACAAGTAACATCAGCAAATTTTCCCCGACTGGTAACATTTCCGGATTTACCCCGACTGGTAACATCACCAGATTTCCCCCGACTGGTAACATCTCCGGATTTACCCCGACTGGTAACATCACCAGATTTTCCCCGACTGGTAACATCACTGGATTTTCCCGACTAGTAACATCCCCAGATTTTCCCCGACTGGTAACATCTCCGGATTTACCCGACTGGTAACATCACCAGATTTCCCCGACTGGTAACATCTCCGGATTTACCCCGACTTATAACATCACCAGATTTCCCCGACTGGTAACATCAGCAAATTTCCCCGACTAGTAACATCACCAGATTTTCCCCGACTGGTAACATCTCCGGATTTACCCCGACTGGTAACATCACCAAATAATCCCCGACTGGTAACATCCCCAGATTTCCCAGACTGGTAACATCACCAGATTTCCCCCGACTGGTAACATCAGCAAATTTTCCCCGACTAGTAACATCACCAGATTTTCCCCGACTAGTAACATCACCGATTTTCCCCGACTGGTAACATCACCGGATTTCCCCGGCTGGTAACATCTCCGGATTTATCCCGACTGGTAACATAACCTGATTTTCTCAGACTGGTAACATTACCGGATTTTCCCGACTGGTAACATCACGGGATTTTCCCCAACTGGTAACATCACCAGATTTTCCCCGACTAGTAACATCAAAAGATTTTCCCCGACTGCTCACATCACCGGATTTACCCCGACTGGTAACATCACCGGATTTACCCCGACTAGTAACATTACCAGATTTCCCCCGACTGGTAACATCACCAGATTTTCCCCGGCTGGTAACATCACCGGATTTACCCCGACTGGTAACATCACCGGATTTACCCCGACTGGTAACATCACCGAATTTTCCCGGTCTGGTAACATCACCAAATTTTCCCCGTCTGGTAACATCATCGGATTTACCCCGACTGGTAACATCACCAAATTTTACCCCGACTGGTAACATCACCAAATTTTCCCCGTCTGGTAACATCATCGGATTTACCCCGACTGGTAACATCACCAGATTTTCCCCGGCTGGTAACATCATTGTATTTACCCAGACTGGTAACATCAACGGATTTTTCCGACTGGTGACTTCTCCGGATTTTCCCCGACTGGTAACATCACTGGAGTTTCCACGACTGCCAACATCATCGGATTTACCCCGACTGGTAACATCACCGGATTTTCCCCGGCTGGTAACATCTCCGGATTTTCCCCGACTGGTAACATCACAGGATTTACCCCCGACTGATAACAATACCGGATTTACCCGACTGGTAACATCACAGGATTTACCCCCGACTGATAACAATACCGGATTTACCCCGACTGGTAACATTTCCGGATTCTCCCCAGCTGGTAACATCACCGGATTCTCCCCATCTCCGGATTTTTGACAACTGGCAACATTGCCGGATTTTCCCGACTTGTTACATCTCCGGACGTTCTCATTGTATCAATGCAGTACAAAAATTGTAAATGAAAAAATCTTGATTTACATTCAGCTTGGCAAAAGTTGCCTCAATTAAGTCTGAATCTACCTTCAAAGATATAAATGGATCCGACAAAATATGTGAGAAATATAAGTTTGGTATTTGCATGGAAACGAACTGACTGGGACACACGCATTTGTACACATTAATAGTAAGTGTACAGGTAAACATGGTTTCCTGCAGGGGAGTTTGAATAATATTAAGATATTTCATTTATCAAAATTGTTTGACCAAAAAACCTATACAGTTGACAATAATCGATCATTAGAAGAGAGACTTTGGAGATCGGTGACCGTCAAAGACCGGGGGCGGAGATAATCGATTAGTAGGACACCTGTCTGTATTATCCAAGCGTATGAGATTTCTCTTGCAAGCGTCTTGATGATACAGGCTACAATAATATTTTCGTGCTTACATTTAATTCTTTTATTTTTTCAATTTGCACTTTTCTTTTTTTCTTTTTCCCTTTTTTGTACTTTTTCATATAACCATTTTATCAGGGTGACAGTGCACGTGGTTCTCGGTTTCAATATTTGTTAACTGAACATTAATAAGAACTGACGTGGTAAAAACATTTATAGATAAATAGTGTTTGTTAACTAAAGGTTTTAAAATTAGTAAAATAAAATGGTTAGTCCACTTGACAGTTGATCGGTTATTACGTTTACATGAATGCCATGATAGAGTCTCGGAACTATTTCGTTCTGCGTAAGTGCAAGCCTAAATGCGTACACTTAGATGACGTTGGTATTGCCGACTATTTCAAGCGTCTTGACCTCTCAAATTCATAGATTAGGTCCGAAAACAAATGCATAAAAAGTAGATCGTTATTTAAAATTTTGAGATATGTAATTAGTTGACCTCTTGAATTTGTGAAATAATTGTGTTAAAAGTATAAAAAGAAGGTTAAGACTGTTTATCAAACTGAAGGCAGTGTGAAATCAATCAACTTATCTAAACTGGTTTTAAATGAAATTGCAATTATGCTAGCTACTGTACAACGCCATAGTACAGCATTCAGAACAAACCAATATGTCGTTGTGTTTCTAAGGGGTACCAATAGCGAGCAATCATTTTACAAGCGGAATTCTTACTTATAGACAGTAAGATCGTTACAACTTGGGTTGCTATTTTTCTGTATATTTTTAACACCGATACCACAAACCGGTTTACTCTCAATTTACTAGTTTTTTGCGCTTTAAAAGTAACAATGGAAAAAGATTCTAGATAAAAATTATCTTCTATTTGACTCAACGATTGTTCGAAAATATCGTTTTGTTATAATAATATACTTAATACTTAATCGGGTCACAAACTATGAAAAAATATAATGATAACAATTATCAAACATACTTATTTATAAAATGTCTTTATTATTTGTCAACTTCGACCTTTTGAAATAAATTTAGTAACCGCCGTTTTAATTAGAGCGGTTAAGGACGTTGACTTCAAACCACTTGCCCCTCACCGCTGTGGGCTCAAATTCCAACAGGGACTATGGATTTTTTCATGTAAGGAAGCTTTCCAGCTAGTTTACGGAACATCGGTGCTTCCACTCAGGTGCTCGTTCGTGTCTGAAATAATGTACGGAAGAGCACAGTTCTGAAGTCTTCCTTCACCAGTAAAGCCGGAACGTTGCCATATGACCTATACTGTTTCGGTGTGACAATCAATCAATCAAACAACAAAACATTAATTGGGTAATCTTTATATATGCTCTATACTAAATTATGAACACTCATGTTGAAAATATGGTTGGTTCATAATAAAAAAAAATGCAAACATAATGCTAAAATTGTTTAATCAATTTAGGTTACACAAAGTTGAATCCCACAAGCAAAAGATGTCGTAAATTATCGAAACTCTAACAAATAAAAACAAATGATACACAAATAAAATTATCAAAATCAAAACCATAAAACTTAAAGAAGTTAAAAAAGCTAGCTCACTTGTCTCTATGATGTTTATGTGTTTGTGACTAAAAAAGCAATCTTTCATTTAGAGTTGAATTGGATAACTTAGATAATATATAAATATTTTACAAGTACTACATATCGAAATACAGTGAAATATGATGAAATTAACTGATATTTCTTTTAATGAAAAAGATTTTTTTTTCTTATAATCAGAAAAAATTGTAAACTATTTGTGTTACATGTAATTTTTATCAACTTTGCCATCATTACACAAAAAACACATTATGTTTTACTGCACAGTCAGTAGAGAGCAATCGCTAATTTATCTAGTAATTCATAAAATATATTATCGGTATCAATAAATAGTGTTCCCTTTTAGAATGCGTTTAAATCTATCTGTGAACAAGCAAACCAGAGAACGTGTTCCAGAAGTTATTAGTTGACGAGGTGGACTCATAAAGGACGTTACCAGATGATGAAGCTAATAAACATTTGACGTAAACTCTTTCACCGCCGTTTAGGACGACTAGAGCGGCAGCAGTATAACAGGTGATTGAGTCATTATCAAAGAATGTTCCAGACGTGTAAACAGTATCTTCAACCATTATACCATAATTCATGTATTTTTTGCTTGCAATACACAGATGAATCATAAATATGTAAGTTCCGCTCATTGGGGCCGTAAATATTCCGGTATTATTGTTGTATGCTTCACCTTTATTTAACATATTTTTTGCGAAGATAATGGTCTGTCCGGTTGCAAGGCTTAAATCCGTGGGTCCACGTGCTTTAAATGCAATCGTATCTGTAAGCAGCAAAGCTGAAATGAAAGAAATAATTATGAAAAAATAATGTTTATCTTCTATCAATAGAAGTAATAAAAAACATTATCTGCTGTAAAACATATGATATACAAAAAACACAGTACATGCATGTGTATGTGATCGTCATTGAAATCTAGTGTCGATAGATAATATATTAGGGCTGGCGATAGTTACATTAACTGACCAAAGTTATAACTATATGTACAGAATCTTTTATTCTGTTCATCGTTACGAAGGAATACTTCTGAGAACGTTTAAGTTTTTCCGTATCAGCATACACATTTGCAAACAGTTTTTAAAGATCTGTTAACCCATTAACCAGCTAAATTTAAACTTGCAGCTACAGGTAGACCAATTTTAAGTAATAGGTAGGCAAAAGTCTTTTTCTAACTAAGTTGGCGAGTGCATTAAAATTAATATAAAATCTCCGGAATCCATGAGTAGATTGTCAAATATAAAATACTAAATAGGTTCATTGTTTTAATTGAACTTAGAATGAAAGAGGACTTTAATATACGAAACACCTTTATCTCTTATATTATATATCTCCTTCCAGAAGCTATTATTTAAAGATAAGATGTAAAAAATATCTTTATGTTGATCTTGGCAGGCTGAGCATTAAGCTTTGTATATTGGTATATGACCTATATATGACTACTTTGTACTTGGTTATTATAAATACCTGATATATTTCAAATAAAATTGTTCTTGGCTACCATTCAAGTAGCACTTGCATAAAAATCAGCTTCAGAAAAGAGATCATATAGAAGTTAAAGCACTCTGCCTCTTTGTCTTTGGCAGGCTTTGACACTGAACATTTCCTCTCAAATTATGATATTTAAAAACTTTTATTAATTTAAATAAATGATTATATTTAGAAAGGTAGAAAATGAAATTACAACGATAAAATACATCAATAATATGGAAACCCCTCGATACATGTAATCTGTCGGTCCATTCTTAATATTTGAATAAGAAAAGCGGAAGATCTGGTTTCTCGATCTTCTATCATTTAGATGATCTATTTTCAAGATTTAGCGTTATTATAAAAAGATAATACCTCTGTTCGTAACATCACAGCAAATAGCAATGTGTATGTGATTGCGTTAAAAATGGTAATCACAAAGATACTGAAATATGTGTAATCATCAGCTTATTTATTTATAAATGATTTATTTATTTATTTATTAAATAATACTTATTTATCTAATAATATTTATTTATTGATTTATTAATCAATTAATTAATTTATTTATTTAATAATATTTATATATTTATTTATTTATTTATTTATTAAATAATACTTATTTATCTAATAATATTTATTTATTGATTTATTAATCAATTAATTAATTTATTTAATAATATTTATATATTTATTTATTTATTTATTTATTTATTTATTTATTTATTTATTTATTTATTTATTTATTTCTTTGCTCAAATTGAAATTTTGAGCAATTCCAATTTATCTTCCAAAATAACAACTGTTACACCGAAAACATTCCCTATTTTCTTTCTTTTGTACTTTTGGCATTCTTGCATTATTTGGTTAAACATTTTTTTAAATTGATATAAAGAAATAGCATTTATTTCATGGTTTCCGGTGTTACTGAAATATATCAGTTGATTATATTCTGATAAACCACTAGTGAAATTTATAGAATATAATTTTCAATGTAGACTATATCTGAATGCGAATGAAAAGAATATCATAACTAAATGAATTAACAGGCAAAAAGAAATGCCACCATACGTAAATTTTGCTTCTTTATGAAAAGAAGGTCGATGTCATCATTCATCATGTTATAAATGCAACAAAATTATAGAAATTTAACACGGAAAGAGTTTCTAAAAAAAGCTTTTCCAGCTTTCTACTCAATCCTTGCTATTTATTATTTGTCAATTATCATGAAAATGTAATGTTCATAATAAAATATTGTTTAATCTAGTAATTTAACAGAACTATATTTCAGAATTGATGATGCGACGTCATGATGTGATGATGTCATAAAGGAGAATGCGCGACGTAAGGCGGCAAAGTCGATAGAAAATACTTAAAATCACTTTAAAAAGCATGAAATAAAAAAAACATATAAAATGGAAATGTATTTCATTCGTGAACACCAGCTATTCTATTTTCACTGGTGGCTTCGCCACTTATGAAAATATTGCATCTGGTGTTCACTCAGTGAAATATTTTTCATTCTTACATGCAAAACATACTACGGGAAGAGACAAAAAAAAATAGTTGTGACGAAAAATATAGTTAGCATGAAGTAGAAGAATAAATCGAAAAAGAACTGCAAAAGGTGTAACTCGGCTCCTGTTTAACTTATACTGCTATATTTATCATTGCTTTCCTTCGGAAAAACATAACAATTAATATTTACACGCTAAAATTATTACAATTTATCATCATGGCTTTTCAAATGTTAATTTAAAATCATCAATAATGTGCTTATATAGATATGCATTAAAGTTTTATTTAGAAAATATAAATACTAGTAACTTGGATATGGGACAGCGTCAATTTACAAGTTCAGAGTAAGGATATCGCAATTAAATTAAGAAAATTTCGTGACATACCAAATAATATTAATAATAATAAAATAAAAATATAAAAAAAAAACCTTTAATAAAATAATACCCTTTCATCTTAATATGTTCATCAGTATCAATCATATATTATAACTATTCTTATAGTTTGCACATTCTGATTGTTCATTGTTAGTAGCTGGTACTAATACTTCGAATTTAGAGTAACCGATGTTACCGTCAAATCATAATAGAACTAAAATAATGATGATTATTAAAGGAGAGACGCAGGCAAAATTTTTCATTTCTTAGTTTTGAAATTTTTTCATTCATTCATTCTGTAAATGCCCTCAAAATGAATTATATTAGACAGTCAAAGGAAACAAAATTTTTCTCCATATAAAGAATAAAATGGTGGTTTGACCGCGTGGGTCAGATTAGAGCGCTAGCATTGCACAATAGTTGTCAAAGTGAACTCTGGAAACGTTAAAGAACATGTCAAAATGAATGACGTTAGGCTTGTTTCAATTATGTAATATCCACAATATCTGTTAATTGTAACTTCAAGGGTTTGTTTCAAGTCACTTGACTTGTTTTAAAAACTATTTGGTGATTCTATTGGCCTCTAAATTTTGTTCAACATATATAGATATATTTACGCTTAAAACCCAATATTTAAAAATTTAAAAAAAAAATTTTTCATGTTTGAAATTTCAAGAAAATTTATTTATTATTTTTGATTTGGACATCAAAATCTTTTTATTTTTTTCCATTATTTTCCCCTGAAATCCCTTTAAGTTAATTTTGTAATTTTTATTTTATAGCTTTAAAAATGATTTATTTTTATGTAAGATTTAAAATTATTTTAGTAAAACCCCGTGTTTGACAACCCCTCATTTTTGTATATACATATTAAATATTTGTGAAAATTTGGGTTTTTTTTTTTAAAATTTGGGTCCCACCCAAAAACCCTTATAAAAAATCACTTTAGGAAACAGCGAGGAAATTAAGCACCCCGGGACCTTTATAGATTAATACGGGTTTTAAAAAACCCAATTTTCTTTTAAAAAAACAATGTAAGTTAGGACAAAATATTTTTGATTAAAAAAAAATACCCACAACATCAAAACGTAAAGTAATAATTATGTTACTAAATTTTTCTTATAATATTTGTATTAGGGAAAGGTTCTAATTTGAATTCAAAACGTAAAAACTTTTATTTTTGCTTTACTAGTTCAGAGTTATTGTTTTAATACCTTCATTGCAAAATTATCTTTGAGAAACGACACAAAACGATAATAATATAAACGACCAAACCTTTTAATTCCTTGTTATCGTTTTTTATGTTCGTCCTTTCGGTTTTCATGTCCTCTAAAACGTCAATCACATTTTGGTTCGTTTTAGATATACGTTTTTCAATGTCTTCAACTTTTATTTCCATTCTTATCATTTTCTCGAGAAGTTGTTCTTCATAATGGTACCGGGAGCATGTAGATTCCACTTCTGAAGTGAGACACTGAGTTACTGCTAAGAAACTTATCAGAAGTAAAACCAACATATTGAATAAAAGAACTTCGGTCAGATGAACACGTAGAAAACGCGCACGAAGGCTGTCTCAAACATTTATAGCTAAATTGTTTGAGAACGCATGCGCAAATGAACACTATACAAAAGTTATATGCGTCGACGAAAAAAGGTAACAACCCTGAAGGTTTATCATTACTAGTGATGACGATTGGATGTTTGTATTTATCTCTTCTCTACAGCATATCCCTATTTAATATCTTTTCGCAGTGAGCATAGAAATCATATAAATTTTTCGCACATAATGTCTTCATTCATATATAAAACATTTCATGTAAAATCTGAATAATGGATTACTTTATTTTCAGTATTCAGCTGAATTTTCGCTTTTTTGTCCACATTTTGATACTAGTATTCAAAACAGATACATTTATACAGAATATTTAATCTTATCATTGAACTTAAAGCAGCATTATGCTTATTTTAATGAATTTTTTAAAAATGTTCATGAAAAATAAAATAGTGTGAAGTGAACAAAGAAAGTATCTTATTTATTGCAGACAGAACTTATTGTCAACGTAAATTATCAAAATGAGGTCAAAATTGACCTAGCTGTGTTATTCACTCAATAGAATTAAAATAAAAATCTGCAAAGCCAGTCATTAATCGCCATCAACATAAAAATTATTGCTTGAATCTTGAATCATTTAACTTTTGTAACGTTATCAACTTAAGAAACAAAAACTCGATCGTATTGTGCATTTTATTCAATTATATTTTAACTTTGTCCTAAACAATCAAAACAGATTTTCTAGAAACATAAAAGAAGAACTGTACGAGAACTGAGAGGGTTCCTCTCTGAACTAAAAACAACCAGATTAGTAACATTTTTGCACGTGCTTCTGACGGCCAACGGACATATTGGAGTAGCTAATGATATTTCGTTTAACAAACTTTTGATACGCCCTATAAACCAATCGTATGAACGTTTGCATATTCAGACTTGAAATAATCATGTTACTCGCCGGAACAAGTAACATAGTTTACATTCAACAGTTGCCATTTATTTTAACGTCCGATTTGACGAACTGTACTTCAATATCTAGATATCAAATCGACGATAGTAGACACATAACTTAAACTTGTTTCACTGCCAGAAACATATATGCATTTTACGTTTGAAATTTTATGATACATTATTTTATAGAAATGTACATTATAATGAAGTGCAATTAGCTAATTATGTTCGCAACCAAAAGTAATGAAACTTTAAATCAAGGACGTTTATTAAAGTATGTACAATAAATAAACCGTCAGTGCCACTATATTACACTTTTCTTAAAATCATCATTTTTCTAAAGATCTTTTCTTAAATAGTTTTGGTTCATCTTGACTCTGGAGGCATTAAACTTTTAACCCATTACTGCATGAGCAATTTGTCACTGAAAAGCCTCCTGTTACAAGTTCAAATTGAAATGAAACTATAAAATATGCTTCAATATTCATCAAAGTCGGCACAAATGTTAACTGGACCATAGCCTTTGTAACGGCGTGCTCAATCTTAAAATTTCTGTTAAGATGGCAAAGAGGGAACATCTCAAAATTGCTGAAATCACAATTTTTATTTGATTTTCCATATCCGGAGAACACTTTGTGTTGTATTATGGGCCTAGTTATTAAGATGTTAACAGAGCGTGAACTTGTAGTTTATACAAGCATTTGCTGTTCAGCCATGAATATAGAAATAATATTTCATTTCTTGCCAAATACCTTTATTGTGTGTGGTCAACACATAAAGCTAACAAAAAATACTTGATTTTAATCTACCATGCTCAGTTAGATTCCGAAGATATTTTTTTTGTTCTGGTGGGAATGTAGTAGACATTGCCCATTAGAAAAATATTAAAATAACTAAACGTGTAGTACAAGTAGTTAGACTACATGCGCAATTTAATCAGTGCGTCGATCGGCAAAAAAATAATAATCTTATTTAAGAAAAATATATCCCAAACAGTGATTTCATCGCTCAATAACATCACTTTTTTTGAGTTCGGCATGCGAGGAATTATATCACGAGGGCGTAGCCCGAGTGATATAATGATGCGCACCCTGAACGACAAACAGTGATGTTATCAAGCGATAAATTCACTAATTTGGATATTATTATTTCGATTCTAACACGATATCAACAAAAAAATACTGCCGTACCTGATATTAACTTAAATTGTGGCCTGATTTGTTTCCGTACTTATTTTCAGCGCGTCTCATTTTAGAGGTTACGTCACGTGTATAATGATTACGTCATATGTCTAAATATAGAACGTCAAACTGTGATTTTATATAGAGGATATTGAATGAGTGTAGGTTTAATACTAAATTTATTGAACGAGTTGAATAAAATTATAGTATGCGAGCCTCTGGCGAGCATAATATTGTTTTTTTTTCAACGAGTTCAATAAATTTAGTATTGAATCTAAACGAATATAATATTCTATTTATCACATATATAAAATTTAAAGAACGCCCAATGTTCATTTAACCGCCTCGCCAGGCACAAAACGTTATGGCAATGATAATGAAACGGTTGGTTTTAGTATGGACAATAAAAACTTTCCAGGTTAGATACAATTCAATGTAGTGTTGGGACAGTAAAACCATGCGTATCAAAACAATGGAAATTAAATGTCAATAAAGTACAAGGCTTTAGAGCGTTAGCCGCGACTTCGGATAGTCAAACTTTGTTGAAAATGAATGAGCATCACAAAGATTAGTTTGCCAATAAAAAAAAGGGTTCGAAAATTGAACTAGAACATAAAAAGCATAGAAATCGCATTATTTAAAGTCAAGAAATACAAGGGGATTTAAAATGTCGTAGTATGTGGGACATTTTATTGTTACCAAAATCAAAAAAAAAAAAAAAAAAAGGGGAAAATTTTAAAACCCTCCCAATTTATTGAAAAAAAACCCTTTAAAAAAAAAAAATTTGAAAACTAGTGATTTTTCGATTTCAAAAGGGGTACTTTCGCAGCCCGAAAAAAACACGACCAAATTGTCGCTTAAATTCACTCTGCAAAGGAAAGCTAAAGGGATTTTATTATGGAATATCAAACAGAACCCAAAAAGAAATAGTAAAATCAGCCCGGGAAAAGTTAATCCCTTCATGTTACACCCGCGGGGAGGGAAAAGGAAAGCATCCCTTTAAAAGAGGGCCCAAAGCTTTACATTAACAATCAGTTTTATAGGGAATCATGTGGAAACCGGGGGGAATTTAAATTGTAAAATCGGGGAACGTAGAAAAACTTACTTATAAAAAAAAAAAATTTAAATTTTAAAGGACAAATTATGTAAAAAGGGATATCAGCTGTCTAAGTGAGACTGGACA